AGGATAGCCAGGGCTACACAGAGAAACCCTGTGTCAAAAAAACAAAAGAAGAAGAGGAGGAGGAGGAGGAAGAAATTCACCTTCAGCCAGTAAAGTACTTGGTGCGTAGATTTAAGGGCTTGGGTTCACTCTCCCAGAATTCGCCTAATGACAAAAATGTCTATACATCCTGGTACATATTTCTAATCCCCATACTGGATAGATAGAGACAGGAGGGTACCTAGAGCTCACTCACCAGCCCATCTAGCTGAATTAGTAAGTTCCAAGCCAATGAGAGGCATTAGCCTCAAAATGCATGTATGCCCATTTCCATCATCTCAGAAAGAGTTAAGGGTATTCCTCTCCAAAGACTAGCTGGGTTCTCATCAGGGTAGCCCCATGCAATCCTGTTCTTTAGCTTCTGAGCCTATGAGTAGAAAACTCTGCGGTAAGAGCAGGCCTTATAGAGCTCAACACTTCTGATGATGGGAAGGTCAACAGCCACCATCATGTGTCATCTACTCAGTGTCCCCCAAACAACCCTGAGCCCACAACCTCCTCCAGTCATCAAGCAAGGCTCAGAGCCAGGACAGGATGCCTGGGAGTCCCTACCAACATTCTCTTCATAACATCACAAGTACTCTGCCCTTGTCCCCACTCAGAAGAGATCCAATAATCAACTTCCTGAAGGTTCTGGACGCACACACAAATCCTCAGATCCAGAGAAACTACTTCAAAAACATGTAAGAGAGGAATATGGGCTAGAGAGACACAGGCTATGTCCAAAGGCCCTAGGACAGCCCAGAGCAAGCCAGACCGTGCTCCCCAGTCTGACTGTTCTGGCTTGGAGTGGCCTTATGTTGGGGCTCATGTTGGTTTTCTCCCATGGGTCTGCTCCCAGATTCTTTGAAGGGAGAGACGCCTTCTGGGATCCATTTGTGACACCAAACAGAAAGCCGGCCCCCTTGGGGGATATGCCAGAGTTTTGGAGCTGTGAGCCTATGAGATGTCTGTATGTGTGTGTCTACTCCTCACCAACCTCTTGGAGAACAGAGGGTATTTATTTTAAGAGTCAAAAAAGATGTTTTGAGCAACCCCACTTAGCTAAATCCTGGCACGGATACTTGAGAGAGAAGCTAAATGCCGGAGGTCAAACCTTGCTTTTTTGGCTAAAATGTTCAATCAAAACACACCTAATACTTCTGCTGGGGTGTGGGGGAGACGTTGAGAGCCTGGGGCAGCCACTGCCAGCAGTCGGCAAGCCGGCAGTACAAGCGCTGAGGCTAAGCTAGCAACATAAAGAGGGTTTTCAGCAAAAGGCAGCCCAGCCAGCAAGGAAGCCAAGGCTGAGAGGCTCCGGAGTGTGTCCGGCGGTTTCTCCACCCAAGGTCAGCAGCGGGTGAGGAGGGCCTCATTAAAGATATTTCTACCTGGCAAGGCTGCCATTAAATCAGAACCTGGCTCAAACCTTCCCTTGTAGGGGGGCTCTGGAAACTCATGAGGTGCCAGCTTCCTCTGAGGGCGTGATGCTCCCTGCTCCAGCACTAGTCACTCAGGAAGCCTGCCACAAGATACTTGCTTGGTCCTCGGCAGCTCTCAGTTTGTCTCGGTGCAAGCTTGCATGCCCCACAGCCCAGGGAGTATCTGCTCAGAGTACGGGTGAAGAGGGCCAAGGAACAGAGCCTCAGCTCCTCTCCCCAAGGCTGGCCAGGACCCATGACCTAGAAAGCACAAGGCTCTGGTTGTTCCCTCTTACTTGGTGACTCTTGACGAGAGTTGTAGATGAGGTCGTTGATGTCCCTTTGTGAGTCCCCATCTGATAGCGAACTCCAGGGTAGGTAGTAACAGTGCCCATAATGACATAGCAGATGGGTTAACTGGGCACTTACCCACTGCTACTCCTTAGCTTCTGATGTGGGCCCTGCTTGGGACTACACTCATCCGCAGGTCTATGGAACACAGTTTGCCTTCCCCTGAGTTAAAGGGTGACAGGCAGGTTGGGAGAAGGCTGTGCAGCCACTCACAGGCTGTGTACGGTGGCAAGAAGACCCAGCTCCCCAGAACATTCCTGCTGGTTTCCAACTGAGGTGTGGGGCATAAGCTGGTGTGGGTGACCAGAGTCCTGCCTGGAACACCATATCTCGGAGACACGGGTAGCCTCTGCAGTGTCTGCAACCCCCTGCGAGAAAGGCCGCTCTGGTTTCTGGAATCCAGAACTGGCAGACCCAGCTGTCTTTTCTGTAAGCTGAGGCCTCGTGCCCCCAATCTATCTCAATATCTTCTCATTCCACTGGTGGCGATTAACTTCTTGAAAAGTGAGACACGATTTCAGAATGCAGCCTCTGGTGTCTTCAGAAAAGAAACTCCACCTTTGGCCTTGCGACTGATTTGAGCCATTTCTAGCACGCAGAACCTTCTAGTCCCCTGCAAACTAGTGACTGAGGGAAACCTTTCCTATGTGGGTCTCCCCAATGCAAACAGGGTGGCCCAGGCGACAAAGGCTTTGTAAATGTAGTTGTCCGCATTGCCACTTTTCGGTGACCTGGGCCTTTGGGAGGCTAGGGAGACAGTGCGGTCAGAGTCATCCGAATCACAGGAAACTCAAGCTTGCTACAATAGGAGGCACCTATGTGTGGGGGAGATGGGGGAAAGGAAGGAGGGCAGGAAAAGAACAGCCCCACTCTGCAGGCCATGAATCTGAGGTCCCACAGGTCCAGGGTGGCCTTTGTTGATGTCCCAAGGGCTGGTGTTTGATCCCTGCAGCTGTAGGAAGGCAGTGCTGAGGGGAGCTCCCTGAACAACTCTGTCAGGGGTGCTGTTGAAGGACTTCATCCTCTCTCCAAAGTTATGGTCATCTGTGCTTAGAACACAGATATGTGGGTGCTAGCTAGATTGCCTGGAAGATTCAAACCCTTTCCTGCTAGGAGGAAGGAATCTCTAAAAAAAAGAGCACTCCCTCAGAGGCAGCCACAGGCTCCAGAACCGTGAATGTGAGCAGCGTGAGCTGGCGATAGGCCCTTCCCAAGGACCTCTGTTGGCTGCTGGTGACCTTGCCGGCACCTGAAGCTTGACTGAGCACACAGAGGGCAGAGCAGACAGGTATGCAAAGGCATTCTAGCCTCGGCCCCACATTTACTAGTGACAAGAGGTGCAACTTTCACATCAGAAGTCTCTGCTGTGACAGGAGACACCCCCTTACTCTCAGAGATCGCCTAGGACTGGGGTGGGCGCCCTCTCCAGAAGTCCAGGACAGCCTTGCATCAGAATGGCCAGAGACATCTCATAGCCCGCCCTACGCCCTAGCCCTCCCTCCAGTGTCTAGAACTGTGTTGACGTTAGAGTGTTAGTACAAGGTGGCTGTGGAATGCCACCAGGCGAGCTCCTTAGACACGGAGTCCTGTGACCTGTCTGTTGACAGGTTCAGCACACACAGCACATACTCAGAGACTTTGCAGCCGTGTGTGCGTGCGTGCGTGCGTGCGTGCGTGTGTGTGAACCCTCCGGAGGCTGGTGTGAGTCTGCGTGGCGTTCACCTAGCCTTCCCTCACTTTCACTAAGAGTCACTTTTCCAAACCACACTTTCAGAATTTATTAAAAGAAACATAAAGTTCCCAATTGGTTAGAATTCCCAACGTTTAGAATATGGCCTCTTGTTATTACAGCTGAGCCAGGCAGAGCCTTTTTGGTGTACCGCACTCCCTTGCCGGTCTGCACGGGCACACATGGGCACCTCAGGGTAGCGGGAAAGGAAGGGAGAGAAAGCCCTTTGGGTTGACATAACTCCTCATTCTGTTTTTCAAGTTTGACTTTCCATCTTGGTTCCTATTCTTTTGGAAATGACATTAAGATTTATGAACATGAGGCTATGGGCTGGACTCCCAATCCAGAAGGGAAAAGTCTGGTTTCTACCACTCATTTGTCGGTTTGCTTAGCTGTAGCGTTTTTGTGTCTGGTCACTGAAGCACCCGCCCTCTAGGCGGGGCTGCTGGGGAAAAACGCTGCGCGGCTCTGCAGATCAGAGTCAAGGACAGCTGTGTGGACTGAAGGATGCAAGGGTGGCGCTCTCTCTCTCCTGCTGCCAGATGTGTCTGTGAGGTAGAGGATGCAGGTCTGCTGTGGTTCAAGTGCCTCCATGATGTCCAGCGCCACAGCTGAAGAACTACCCCCAGACACCACAAAGCCGACTTCCTTCCCCGGGGCATGTCATGTTAATAGGAGCAGGTGACACGCTGCCATCCCAGACTCAAGGAACCCGTGCCTGCTCCCATATCCGATGTCTCAGAACAGAGGTGGAACTCATGGCTCCCCGGAGCTCTGCCTCCTAAGCCAAACTGGAATCCCTAGGAGGACAGGGTCATGCCGGCAGCCTGAGAATCTTTTAAGGCTGGGCAAACTAGAGCAGGAGACATTTCTACAGAGGCTCTGCTGGGTTTTCTGGCAGAGCTCGAAGTCTGCTGTACCTTTCAGGGTCTGAGCTCCCTGCTGGTTTCAGCCAAGGGCGGCCTGTTTTAGGATGTGTTGGCCCTCACACTTTCATTACTTGGCCATGGGTTCTCCGCAGAGCAACACCGACTCCGAAGAGGAGCTGTAAAGAACAAACCGCAACATTTGCAAGGCAAGGACACCTTTCAGGTCCCCAGCATATGGAGTTTCTGTTAGAATAAGGACACTAAGCGAATGATGGAGGACATGTATATCCACTTTGCTCTTGACGGTGGATGTGGTGTGACTAGCTGTACGAGTTCTGGCCTTGACTTTCTCAAAACAATAGGTTGTAACCTAGAATCGTGGGCCACGCGTTGCTTTCTGTCAGGCAATGTTTACCATATATGCGCATGCATGCGTGTACACACATGGAAACTAAAAGAGTCCCCAACAACATTTCCCTTCATTTCTCAGGGAAGCCACGGGATCTTGCCTTCACGCTGGAGAGGTGTTGATCCCCCTGTGGTTCACAGCCCTCTGCGGCGTGAAGGCGACACCTGTTAGCCACTAACAGCCCTTTCCGATTTGCTTTGCAGCAGATGCTGACGGATACAGAGGTGTCATCCCAGGAGAGCTGCATCAAAAAGGTAGGCAAACCTGCCGTGACTGTCGTCACCCCCAGTACCCTTTTACGTGGCTCCTGGTGAGACAGCTATGTGGTCCTGGTTGTTTCTGAGCTACAGAGCAAAGAACCAGTCCATGAGCAGAGCATCATCTGCACACAGTATATGAATGCCATCAGGGGAGACACTCATTTTCACTGTGTAAGCAGCAGTGGGGGGGTCACCTCACTAAGCCACCCCAGCTCTTGAGAACAGAGGACAACCCTGGGCCCGTGGGAATGCTGTGGGCCATGCAGACACAGGAAAACTAAATAAAGGCAGGTTGTGTTTATTTAACTATCTTCACTGAATACTCACATGAAAAGGGTGGGGGGAGCGCAAGGGGCCGCAGATTCAACAGATCCTTTTGCTACGCTCTTAACTCCCAAAGAGGGCTCAAGCATCGCTTTAAGTAAGCAAAGCATTAGGCAAAAGAAAAAAGCTTCAACTGGGCATTGTCTACCACCTTTCTGGCTGATGATGGATCATAGCCGGTCGACAAACACGGCTCCGAAAGACCCAGAAACAGAGACAGAGAGAGAGAGAGCTATGCAGAGGGGAAAATACACATGGTCGAGGGACACACACACAGGATGTAAACTTGAGGGGTCCTGCCACCCGAGTGAGCAGACAAGTCTGACCTTGTGGGCACTACGCTGGGCACACAGGCAGAGCTCTTTACCGGATGGGAGCTGTCCTTCTCCCAGGCAGACCTCAGGCAATATTTTGGAGGTGAAGTTGTCACAGAGGCCCTTCTTTCCTCCATCCCTCTACCCTTTAAGTGTACCATGGATCAGATTCTTTCTCCTTCTCCCTCTCTCCCTCCCTCCCTTCCACTCCCCTTTTCTTCTTTGGGTAAATATGTGTGTTTTGAAAGGAAAGGGGTGGGGGCTGGAACAGAATTCTGTATCTCAAGAGTTGTGCCCAGTCTGCTTTTTGCCACCAACAGAGTGGACCACCTTGTTGTCAGTGTGTCTCTGGGTGTGTCGCCCAGCCAAGGTAAAGTGGTTAAGGCAAGGGATCAAAAGGTGAAGTTCAAATGTAAAGGGCTGCGAAAAGGAAAGCGCTGGATACTTTTGAAAGGAAACAAAATAACAGGTGACAGGAGTGAGTCTGGCTGCTCTGCTCTCGCTCTGGGGTGAAAAGTAGGGACGCTGTTTGTGACTTGTGCCTTTTCTTCTATAAAATGTGGGTCCGTGAGTTCTTGTCTAACCCGACCCCAGGTCATCTTGGGAGTTGCTTCTGGGATAGTTGTGAAGTATAACTTGAAGAAAGACCCACTTGAAGATGCTTGGGGGACAGCTGTCTCAATCGCAGGTTCCTGTGATGCCCCTGAAGCTACAGACAGGCTGAGGGTCTCAGAGAACCCAGGGACCCCCACAGACTAACTCCCATAGAGGCTGGAGCATCTCGGAAGCCTGAGGCTGCGGGTGGGTGTCCTTGTCCACACTCTACAGTGTTTCTCGTGAGGCTGGGGAGCTGCTGCAGCATACCAACAGGGACTGCTGAGCAGAAGTTTTCCAGCTTCGGCTGAGTTCAGACATCCCTGCTTCTCTGGGATCACAGAACAAGAATTAAAACCTAGTCTTTGGTCTGGACCTAAGTGGTGGGAGGTGGAGGGGACTGAACTGGAGATGGGAATTTTATGTCAACAGCAAAGGGGGTCCCATGCCAGGAGCAAGAGGGGACACATAGGACTTTGAACTTCTGTGTGTGTGGAAGTTTTTGCCTCACTAACATGTCACTTAACGCTGTGGTTACTACATACTTGCTTTTTTTTTTTTTTCTGAGCAATGCTATACGAACCTGTGTGTGTTTGGATTACCTGAAGACTCACACACTTGTATTAAGAATATGATAGGGAAGTGGGGGACCAAGGGGGCATGTGGAGACTATGTGGCCTTGGGTTGTTCAGTTGCCATCTCTGAGCTTCATATATCCTTCCCTGCATCGGCGTCTGTGAACTCTAGCAGGCTTGGTTTCATTCTTTCAGCCCATGACACTGCTGCAGGAAGGAAAAACGGAAAATGTTGCTCTTGGAAGTATTAAGTATTAGAGAACAGGTTGCTACAGAGGTATTTCATGTTTCTGAGTATTCAGAATTTACACAAGGAGCCAGGCAAGCGTGGCTATGCATGGACCAGCTGTGTCAAGATTCACACCCAAGACTCTGCAAGCCTGCGCTGAGCAAAGCTACTGCTGGCTCAGTCTCTTCCCAGTTCTGCTCCCCTTTGGCCTCACTGTACCCAGTCTCCTGCTCACCCCTACTCACCCACCATGTCTCTTACTCCCAGCATCCCTCTGGGCTCCATTGTCCCTAACTTTCATCACTTGTGGCCACATGCCCCCAGCTTTGTGCCTGTGTTCCAAACCTCAAGTACCTAAATCCCCGCTGCCATCTCTGCCCCTGTCCTTTGTGCCCTCTGGAGACATCACTTGAGCTTCCCCAGAAGTCATCACTCTGGCTGTGGTCAGACCCAGTCCAGCTTCTTCCCACAGCAGAACCCAGGACCTCTGGGGCTGCCCCTCTGCTGGCGACTCTATTTAGTCTGTTTACTTAGAGGGAAGCCCGGGGGCTCCGGGAGAGCAAACATCTGCGGGAGATAATCTAGCGAGCTGTCCATCCATCACTTGGCTGCGCGGCTCCCCGGAGAGCTCGTCGGAGCCTGTAATAAAAAGGCCGGGAGAAGAGGCTTTGGGGACGAATAAAGAGCCGTGTTAAGGGCTCGCGGAAAATGGATGGAAGACATTATTAAGGCTCAATGGCCGCCTTATCAAAATCCAATAGGATAGACATTTGGCAAAGGCTTAAATTTATTCTTTGACTTTCTGGAGGGCTGAATTTATCCGTTAACAAGAGTGTAGTCCACCCGGGGAGATGGTATCAGGCGAAGGAATTTTGATTCAATCTCTTCAGTGATATGAAAAGGGAAACACAGGGCCCCACGGCCTTTCCCTTTGTCCTGCTTTATCTTGTTTTCTTTCAGCATCTCGCGGAGGAAGGGGGTGTTAATACAGGGCAACTGGGAGAGAGCACAAATGAAAGGAAGTGACCTTTTTCTCTTGTATTTTTATTTCCGCCTTTCCTCCCTTTCTCTGCTCCCTCTCCGCCCCCCAAATAAAGAAATCGGGGATTTGTACCATTATAACTGGTACTCGGGGTCCTGGAAAAGGTTCCTGTCTGGAAGGGCCCAGCCAGCGCTCCTCCTGGGCCATGGCAGGAGACATGAAAAGAGTAAATAAATAAATAAATAAGTCGAGAGGGTCAGCGATGGGTCCATAAATCTCTTCCAGTTATTATTTCGTACAAAATGCTACAGGTCATAAAAGCCACCTGATAGCTCTCGAGTGATCCAAATAGGATGATTGATTGATGATTATGGAAATCTGTGAAGTGATTATTTGGGTGTTAGAAGCATAACCTCTCCCACTGGGCTTGGGGACCTTTTACCCATCGTATGGTCCTGGATATGCTGCCTCTGGTGTCCGGAAGCCCAGAGGCCTCAGGGTTCATGAAGGATGACTGGAGCCAGGAGCGTGAACTCAGCCTGCTGAGGAAGTGGGAGCTGAGGCAACCGGGCAGCTACCAAGTGGCTTTTGTGAAAGCAATTGTTTGGATGTCACACATCCTGAGATCTAAACCTGGCCACAACTGAGTGAGCTGTTTGCCCCTGCAGACGGTTTCTTCACAAGAGCTGTGCAGTCAGGGACTGGTTTATATTGTTCCTGGGTAGCTGGAGGGTGAGGCGGTGGGGAGATACACATACGGGTCCTCTGTGATGTGCGGCTGACCTGCAGGTCAGGGTCTGGCTGGTGTTTGTTGGAACCGGAAGGCTCTCCACCACCACCCATAGCTTGTCTAAGGGCTGTGTCACTGAGGTGAGCTTAGGGACCTCTTCCCCTCCTACCCTTTCCAGACATCTGGTCACGCTCAGAGCCCATCAAAGTGCACAACTATCCTGCAGTTTCCCTACACCTACTCTATTACAAACAAAAATAAAAAACCCACTAACGCAACAAAAATGCTGTGTCGAAATTATTAATTTGCATGTAGGATCAGTTATGTCTTTATGAAACCAAAGTGTGTTTAGCTGCCCTGGAGACAGCCCTGAGTTGATTTTTATAATCTCGGGCTGAATAGACTTGCCTCGTCGCGGTAAGCCGGGAACAAAAGGCTGGACAGTGGTTGAAAGCCCTTTGAGGACATGTCTCTCTTTCCATTGTTCTGGGGTTGCTGATAAAAGAACGGGGAGTCCATTAATTCAGTGAATGAACATATAGCAAAGTCAGTCCCCTCTTGAGAACAATGTTGAGGTCAGCTTCAGTTGCTATGGAAACTAAGTACTCCTAAGAAGTTTGCATCCTTGATTTTGCTGAATCAAAGGTTGCAAAGTGAAGAGGTGCAACACCGTCACCGAGACAGCAGAAAGTCGGGAAGGGCTGCCTCCGAGGGTGCCCTCTCCTGAGGGGGCTGGGCCGCTGGCCTTGGGACCCTCAGCGGCTCTCTGAAACCAGCCTGTGTCTGGCTTCTTCCCTCACCCCTCCCCGAACGACGGAGGATGCTGCTTTCACAACTTGAGACTTGTCCAGAAAGGCCCCTTCCGGCACTCATCTCCAGCAATAGGGAAGAAGGCAGTGTGGGGGAGGGCTTGCAGGGGGAGCTCGAGCCGCCCTCATCTAGGGCAGCTTGGGGCCCCAGCTGGACTCTGACCTCACCCCTTGCAGCACCTGAACCAGCTTCTTAGGGCAGGGCCTGGGACTGTGGCCCCTTTACGAAATGATAAGGGTGACTAATGGTCCGTTAGCGTAGCCTCGGTGAGTTATGGGCAGCCCCAAGCTTGGCGAAGACTGTGTAAATGTACATCTCCTGAGTGGAGTGATGCCGATTACTCCCCCACCCCCGCCGCCCCTGGAGGCTCCCTTAAATCAGCTCGAACCATCAGATTAGGTGGGCAGAGGTGGAGCTAATTAATTTCCCGACCGTAATTTATTGCCTGCTCCCGTGGGTGTTGTCTTCAGGGCCCTGCTTGTCGGATAAAGGCTGA